GGTGAAATTGGAGAAGGCTCTGCTGATTCTGATGAGCAAATTTGTGGCTAAATGGCAAGCCTAACAATTGAAAAGTCATTCCCTCCTCACTAGGAAGGAATCTTGGTAGCTTGTTTTGATGTTTTTTCTATTATCTGGGTTATTTCAGGGTTATGATCCATATTTTATTTGTTTTATTGAGTCAAACCCTTCTATCCCTCCATTCTATTTGTGTGAGTCTTGTTTGTCTGTTCTGTTGCTATTTTCATTATTCGGGTTATTTTAGGGTTGTAACTCGTATTTTGGGTTGCTTGTTTAGTTGTAAAACCCTTCCGTCATTTACTCAATAAAATACAATTTATCCTTTTGTGTTATTCTGTTCCTAGTTCTTTTGTCGCTAGTTCTAATGACATGACATGTATGCGGAAATTTTGGCCAGATCTTAGGAACTGATTTAATCTGGAATTGGATAACTAATAAAAAATATAAAAAAATACATTTGGGGATGAATAAAGAGTTGGAGTACTTTGAAACTAAGGTCGAGTAAAATTCACTTTCAAATCATTGTGAAGATCGGGCTTGAGGATGTTTAATCAATTGAAGTTTGTTGGAAATTTTGTCATTAATGGATGAAAAAATGTCTTGTGACCACGGCACACCAAGAAGACAGACATGTTCGTCAATGCTGTGATCGCGAAAAGATACCATGTTTGACGTTCTCGAGGTTGGGAGACCCTTTTTCTGCTACCCAAACACTTTATATCCTTCGCTACCCCTTTTGAGCCTGTGTTATTTTCTTTGACTACCCTCTTTTGGAATCAAGTTTAGAGTCAAAAAAAAAATAAAAAAATTCATGTCCTAAGAGTACAAACTGAGGCAATTCTTAGAAAGTTCAAAAAAAAAAAAAGATTTGTCAAAGGTCCATGCCCTAAAAAATAGGAGCTGGGGCAACTTATTTTGAAAACAAAAGAAAAAGAAAGAAAAAAAAGAAAAGAAAAAACAATAGAAAGAAAAATGAAAAAAAATTAGCTAGGTCAGATGTTTGAACTACGTTCGACCTGATTCCTTAAAAAAGGATACGTAGGCAGCCCCACGGTTCAGTCCAACCAAATAAGAATTCAGAAAAGAAAAAAAAATTCAAAAAAATCCCAGTATCTGAAACTGGGGCAAAGATTTTATTTTACTTTTGAAATAGTCGATTCTAAGAGTTGTAAGTCTACACCCCCTTTTATTTTGAGTCTACGTTAAGCCTTCATGCCGACCCTTCTGTCCAACCCTATCCAAAACCATCCAAATAAAGACCTACCAATATGCCTTCAAGAATGCCAAGAGAAGCATGCAATGAGCAACGACTGTCACACGACATAGAACACTGTCAAGTTGCTCGCACAAGAAAAAGAAAAATAAAAATAAAAATAAAAATGAGAGTCTTATTAGAGAAAACCCTCACAGGCACTGTAAGACGACGGTAAGCAGAGATGAATAAATGAGAGAGACTTGTTGGTGAAAACCCCTCGAGGCACCACTAGTCGAAAGTGAGTCATGAAGCTGATGCAAAGAATTGGCACGAACAAGCCCGACTTCAAAGGTCATAAGAACGGTAAAAGGGAAGATTGGATTAGTTTAATAGATCAGGCCGTTGAGTCCAAAATATATGTCATGATCATTAAGGCTAGTTATTGAAAAAAAAACCTTCCTTCTATCCTTCCCGACATGGACATTTCTTGTTAATATTATCTCTTTGCATTATTTGTGTCCTCCACTCTGAGTCAGTCCTTGTCAAAACAAGCAAGAAAAGATTTCAAAATCTGCTACCAGCTTTTCAGTTGCAAAGTAAATTTGGCCAGCACACTCAGTTGTTATTGTCAACATGCCTTGAGGATTCATGCAAAGGCTTCCCCTAAAGACTCTTGTCAGCCTACTTGGCGCAAGCAAAGACAACTGGTGATTCTCTCTGACAGACAAATTGCTCAAAAGCAGGAAGCCATTTAAGATATCAAAAAACGTCACCTAAGCAAAGATCTCCAATTTGGATAAGGCTGTTTGAGCTGCAAATACAAATGGTACTGGTGTGAAACAATCAGAGTTGGTGCATAACAAAAGTCTTTTGAGACCAACTCAAGTTGATTGAGCAGAAGCCAAGCTGCCCAAGACTCAAGGCCACAAACCGACCACTATTTTCAAAACTGACCAATTTTTCTTTGTGTGAAACAAGAACAAAGCAGTGCAAGGAAAGTGGTTCAAAAAAAAAACAAAAAAAAAAGAGAAGGAAAAGAAAAGAAGAGGAGAGACTACAAAGGGAAGCTTCTCAAATCTTTGTCTTTGTTTGTCTTGCTATTGTGCATAAAATCTTGCCATTGATCTTTACATTTTTCCTCCTAGGATAAAAGTCCTAGTCTAATGAATTTTCTCCTAGGATAAATGTCTTAGTCTGATGAATCTTTCTCCTAAGATAAGAAAACCTAGTCTGATAAACCTTTCTCCTAGGATAAATGTCTTAGTCTGATGAACCTTCTTCTAAGATAGAAAACCTAGTTTGATTACCTTTCTCCTAGGATAAACATCTTAGTCTGATGAATCTTTCTCCTAAGATACAAAAAATAAATGTCTTAGTCTGATGAACCTTTCTCTTAAGATAGAAAACATAGTTTGATGAACTTTCTCCTAGGATAAACATCTTAGTCTGATAAACTTTCTCCTAGGATAGAAATCTTAGTCTGATGAATTTTTCTCCTAAGATACAAAAAAAGAAGATAATAAACCTAGTCTGATGAACTTTCTCCTAGGATAAACGTCTTAGTCTGATGAATTTTTCTCCTAAGATAGAAAACCTAGTCTGATGAACTTTCTCCTAGGATCAAAATCTTAGTCTGATGAATTTTTCTCCTAAGATAGAAAACCTAGTCTAATGAACTTTCTCCTAGGATAAACGTCTTAGTCTGATGAATCTTTCTCCTAAGATAAGAAAACCTAGTCTGATGAATTTTCTCATAGGATCAAAATCTTAGTCTGATGAATTTTTCTTCTAACATAGAAGACCTAGTCTGATGAACTTGCTCCTAGGATATAAATCTTAATCTGATGAATCTTTCTCCTAAGATACCAAAAAAAAAGAAACCTAGTCTGATGAATTTTCTCCTAGGATAGAAATCTTAGTCTGATGAATCTTTCTCCTAAGATACCAAAAAAAAAGAAACCTAGTCTGATGAATTTTCTCCTAGGATAGAAATCTTAGTCTGATGAATCTCTCCTAAGATAGAAAACCTAGTCTGACGAATTTTCTCCTAGGATAATTTGAAAAAAAGAAGTCTGGATTTGAAAAAAAGAAAAGTAAAAAGAGAAGGGGTCAATTTTAGTTTCTTGAGTTATCAATCATTAGTTGTCTCGAAATCAGGACCCTCATGGATACTGAGATTTAACTTTTAAATACATAAAACTCTTTTGGATAACAGGATTCGATTAACACTCACAGATGTTCCCAATATCAATCTGGGGCAGAAAAATTTCTTTTGTTTTGTCTGTTTTGTTGTAATCAGGCGCTCACCTAGAAAACAAGGGAAAATGGTTCAAGAACAAGGGAAAGCAACTCAAGTTTCAAGAGGAATCAGTTCGAGTTCAGCAATCAGGCGCCCACCTAGAGAACAAGGGAAGACAGTTCAAGCTTCAAGGGAAAGAAGTTTCAGAGGAAAGCATGTCAAGTTCAGTAATCAGGCGCCCACCGGGAGAACCAGGGAAGATAGTTCAAAGTTTTAAGGGAAAACGATTCAAGTTTCAAAGGAAGACAAGTCAAGTTCAGCAATCAGGCACCCACCTGGAGAACAAAGGAAGACAACTCAAGTTTCAAGGGAAAGCCGTTTTGAAGGAAGACAACTCAAGTTTCAAGGGAAAACATTTTCAAAGGGAGACGATTCAAGTTTCTAAGGGAAAAATTGTTCAAGGTGTAAGGGAAAATAGTTTCAAGTAACAAGAGAAGACAGTTCAAGTTCAACAATCAGGCGCCCACCCAGAGAACAAGGGAATTCACTTCAGAATGCAATTCAAGTCAGCAACAAAAGAAACTTGTGTCAAGAATGCGAGTCAACAGTCCGAGATGATTAACAGAAGTTAGTCACAATACAGAATAAAAAGAAAAATAAAACAAAAAGAAAGGCAATAAGTGAACTCAAAATGCAAAAGTTGATGAAAGATGTGAGATGCTCAAGACATGACTGAGGTCACAAGCATGGTGTGTCCGGTTTTGATCCGAAAAGTTGAAAAGGAAAGAACCAACACCTATAGCTAACAAGCATCAAGATTCAGATCAGGTTCCGTATGAAGAACCAACCAAGACTCAGGATCAAGCTTTAGAAGACTCATAGATAGGAATTTTGTAACTCGTAGCTGATAGGCTTAGGTTGTCTTTTTCATTTTTGATTTTGATGTAATAACGGGACCGCGGACCCGAACCTCGACGGCACCTCACTCGGCCCTCAACCTCAGTACTCCATCACCTCATTCACTTCTGAACTACATGTGGCCTGATTCCTTTATAGCCAAGGATATGTAGGCAGCTCAGATACCAGGGCTCGATCACATTCCCCTTTTCTCTTAATTTTGGTCTCCTTAAATAAGGGTCGGGTCAAAAAACCTGTCTAGTCGTTCTTTGTCCGAAAACTCTTCGCGTTTCCAGTCAAAGAGGGACAGCTGTAGACATGTGATTTTTGACCCACCCCAAAATTTTACATATTTTAACATGTAAATATTTAATTTAGGCCTAATATAGCTATTTCAACTCATTTTTACTCTTTTACTTTTATTTTATTACAAGAAAACGAAAATTACAAAAAATAGGTTCGTTAATGTTTTATAGTCATTTTTTAACCTTGAAAAAATACCAAAAAATAGTTTTGTTTTAACGGTCAGTCTTATTTTAATAATTAATTTTTACTTAAGTAGGGCTAATTAATATTTTTGATAATATTTTTAGTTAATTAAGATAATTTTAAGCATAGCTAGTCATAAAGGCCTAAGTTTCTAGCCCATTCCTTAAGACCAATACCCAATACCCGTTAAGCTAATCCTAGGGACCCTTCTAGACTTTTTTTGGAACAATAAATAAATAAAAAGACCCTAAGGACCTAAGAGCAATTAGCACAAAAATACACATTTAGACCTAGATCTATATAATAGAGGTAATGCCTAATGTTGGAGGGGACCAAAAATTAGAATCCGCCGCTGAACCTAGAGCTAGACCCCTAAAAATCAACCGCAAATCTCTTTCTTTTTTCAGAAAAACGGCAGCTTCATGCCCAAATTCCCTTTTTTCTGATTCTTAAACCATCTTTCCTTTCCATTTGAAGACACACACATATACAGAAGGAGATTAAACAAAGGAAATGGAAGTTTAGCCATCAAATAGCTAAAAATAGCTTTAAACCCAGCTGACTACAAAATGAAAAACAGCCTTCCCCCTTTGATTTTTGGATTCATCTCCTTTCTCTCAAAATTCAACTCACACATATAAATACTATACTACTCATAACAAAAGGGGAGGGCACATCGAGTTCTGGTGAAAGTTCGAGGTCGACAGTGCATGCCTTTCCGTCGAGGTCTCTATCGCGATTCCATCTTTGGAACAAATCATCAGTTAAAAAATCAAAAGTGAAAGTTTAATATTAAGGTTCTTTCCTTTCTCTGTTTATCAATTAGTATCTGGGTTCTACTTTGTTCTTGCTTCAAAATATTTTTCTTCGGACATGTCTCCTCTCACTTAAGTTTGCTTAAATTTTGTTTGCATTAATCTTGTGTCAGCCTTTTTTTTATCTTTCTTTTATAAAAAAAATGGCACAATTTAGTTTACTGTGTTAATGCATTAGAGGGGTGTCTTTAATAAATATTAAGCAGTAGTAATTTGAGGCCAATTTTTGTCAAAATTAGTGATTTGAATTATGAACTTTTCGTCTATGTTATTAATTTAAAATCATTTAAGAGGTCCACATTGGAATTAGGATGTTAAATAGGTTAACGTTTTACAGGGATCTTGTGTAAATATTTCTTTACAATATTTTCTTCCTTAATTGATGTTTTATTGCTTTTTTTTTTGTAGTTCCTTATTTTATGAGTTAATATTATTTTAATTTATTTGACCAAAGTTGAATATTATCCTTTAGGCATAGAAACTGTAATATGAAGAAGAAAAAGAAGAAGGGGCTAGGGGGTTCATTCAGTTAAATTGGGAAGAATTAGGTTTGTTGATCTTTAGAAATAGTTAGAAATGAGTTTTCCTGCATGTGTTGGATTATGGGGGGTGACATAAAAAATTGCATCTGGGCCAAATAATAAGCTAGTCCAAATATCGATATTGCTACAAGCTAGCCAGCCTTTCCATGAATTATTAACCTCATTTCCTCCATAATATTATTCATTTCTCATGACCCTCGCAAAGTTGAAATGCGTAGTTGTTTTAGGCGCGTTATTTTAAAAAACTAATTTCCTAAACTCGGGTGCGCATTTATGTGACCCAAATCCAAATCCCAACAATGTTAGATAAAATATGTCGTGGACCGCGGGTGCATTTATGTGACGTGGTTCAAGACGTGTTTTAGATGACGTCGAATTTTTTCCTAAAAATTAATTAAATAAAGCGGTTAAAGTTAAAATTGAACTATAAGTTAAAATATGTATAAAAAATAAGATAATAGGCCAATAATAGCAGTTGAGCGACCGTGCTAAAACCACGGAACTCGGGAATGCCTAATACCTTCTTCCGAATTAACAGAATTCCTTACCTGGATTTTTGTGTTCGCGGACTGTAATACAGGGTCAATCTTTTCCTCGATTTGGAATTTGAACCGGTGACTTGAGAAACCATAAATTATCCCAAGTGACGACTCTGAATTTTAAATAAAATAATCCCGTTTCGATTGTCACTTTAATTGGAAAAACTCCTTATACCCTTCCGGGGATAGAAAAAAAGGAGGTGTGACAATGAGCTCCTCTAATGTGAAGGTACAAATAAGGAATAATTATTCTTGGATATACACACGAAGGCTGCCTAGTTTTTGGTACGTGACATGTTCATATTTATGGCATCTAAAAATGGGAACAATGAAGGTTTTGGGAAGTCATTACCCAGTGCACTTTGTTAATACTACATCCCAAGAATGGTGCCACATAAATTTTATATCAAGATACTGCTGGGGAACACTCGATCTTCATGGCAAACAGGACGTGATCACCTATTCGACAACGATTGCGGACATTTTGGATACAACATGGGAGAAATTCGAGTTACATCTGCAATTAGGGACATCATACCTTCATGTATGATGTATCTGCTGAGACATCAAGATTAGAAGCAGAAAATGTATACAAAAACTGGAGGCCAAGTACTACACTTACAACAAATGCTATGCTAATAACTGCTTGTGCGAGAAGTTATTATGGGACAGATCATGATCTACATTATGCACGGAAGACAAAGTTACGGGGCAATGAGTTATACAGATGCTATCATGGCATGCTTAGTGCTAGTTTTTATTCAAGAACCTTACTACATTATTATATTTCTTTATCATTGGTTAATTAATTCAGAATTTACTATTAGGATTGAGTATTCCTTGCTCAGTTCTGGTAATAGGGGCTATGTAATTACCTTAGCATGTCTTTACATCTTGTAAGACTCTACACTACTTTTGTTTGTTTTGCTTTAGATATTCATAAAAACTAGCCCTAGGCACTTGCCTAGTGTATTATTTAAAAAAAAAATTATCCATCTAAAGTTTCAGTTAAAGACTACTTAAACCAAACATGACAAGAAAGAAACAGAGTGTATAAACTTAAAAAATTTAACAGAATATCCAACGCCTAAAAGGATATTTCGGCAGTGGACTGCCATACTTGTATTGTTCGGATGCATTGTTGGTATCCTATAATTTAGAGCTTAGCAATGTAGTGTATTTGTCTAAAATGCTAAAATAACACCAGTTCTTGAGACTTATCGCTAGCACTTGGTCACTATATACGAAGCGTCTAAACTAGAGACTCCACAGAATGAAAGGCAAGCATTTCATGGAGATATAAAATTGATCTAATATCTAATATCTGTAATACTCTTCCTGTGATTTCCTGAATTTAGGGATTAAAAATTTAATCCTCCTCCAATCTGTAGAAGAAATACTAGATTACACATATTCTTGCAAATTATACCCATTTACACCTAAATTTGGGGATTCATGCATACTCCTCTTTCAAGCCAAAAACAAGAACAAACAGATTCTTACAAAGAATCATGTCCGCTGACCAAAATAATTCAGAAGAGTAGGAAGGGCAGGGTTCGAGAAAGATTAATAAAAGGTAGAAAATAGAGAGGCCACAATTCATAATCTTATTTGCTTAGTTCTGCCTAGCAGTAGCCTTAGAAAAAATACAGAGAAACCAATTCAAAGACAAAAAAACAGAAATTGTAAACACAAAAAAGGCAGCAAATATCACATACAACTATCAATCAGAGTAAACAACAAAAAAATAGCAGACAAACAAACAACAATAGAGTAACAAAGGAAGAATCAATTCAATCAATCAACTATCAATCTAACAGAAGGCAGATATCACAAACAACTTAGCAAACACAAAAAAAGCTATACTTTCACAAATCCCAAAACACCATAGTTTGATATCAAAAATTAGAAATTGGTACCTGGTAAGCAGAATTTTTTGCCGATAGACAAGAAATTGAAGGAGAAGAATTATTTCTGCAACAATCTTGAAATCTACACGAAAAGAGAAGTTGGAAATGGATGAGGAAGAGAAGATTGACAGCGACGATTGAGCATATTCGAGCAACATCAACCCAAAATCAATTGTAAATCGATTTCAAGAAACCTGCTGGGTAAGAACAGAAGTTACCTAGGGATGGTCGGAGACTGTGGCAGGGCGGATCGGAGGAGATTGTTGCAATATTATTGTTAAGCACGTAGGTTTTGCTACAGCGTGCCTCACCTTCAAATTGGCGACTGGCGTGCGTCTTTAATTTTTGAAGAGAATATGTTTTCCTGTTTTTTTTCTAATTGGAGGGAATGTAATTTCTTGTCCAAAAAAATTGGAGGGAATTTTTTTTGTACGGAGGAAAAGTTAAAATAATAAAAAAGTTGATTTCAATTAGTGCTTTTTAGCGGTAAGTTTTTTATTGTCGGTAAAAGAATATCTTTTACTGGCTATTGATCATGAGCCGCTAATATTTCAGCTTAAATAATTCATTAGCGACAATTACCTTATTACCGCTAAATAATTGCCGCCAAAGACCTTTTTTGTAGTAGTGAGTTTTAGTTGAAAAATTATTTGATGAACGGAATATGCGAAGAAAAAATCGTTCCAATAGTGTTATGTGTTAGAATCTCGAAAGGATGTTGTTGGACAATCTGAGAAAAAGAAAAGCAAAAGGGTTAGAGTGGATGATGTTGAAGGTAAGAGAAAATATGTCGTGGAGGACGAAGTGAATTTGGGTGTCAAACCCAAAACAAGTAAGGTTCAAAAGGCAAAAAAATAAATAAATAAAAATTCCTGACAAAGTTTGTAAGGTACATACAATTTCAGTTATTTTTTTTTTTGAATCTTCTTTTAAAATTAGATCTTGTTTGTATTTGTTTGTTGTTAATTCGTGTCATTTATTTGTAGCCTTGGAATAATTTAAGTGTGGGGTGTTGATGATCAGCTATAATTACCAATTTTAGTCGCTTATTACACTCGAATTTACTGTACTTTAATTGAGTTTGAGCTTTAATCGCTAGTGCTTTGCACTAACTGTGTAATTTATGCCTTGTAGAAGTGATTCCGAGCTATATAGATGTTATGGAATGAATTCAAGTAATTTGGAGCTTTGAAGTCTGAGTAAAAGCCCAAGGAATTAAGCCGAGATCGTATTCAAGGGTCAAATTTGATAGTTAAGGACAAACGAAGATTCGAGTAGGCATATTATGCACTATCTAGTAAAATAGACATAACTCTTTGCTCCAAACTCCATTTGGGCTATATAATATATGGTTAGAAATCTAACTATAATATATTTTTCAAAATTCCAAACAGAACGGGGTGAAAAACGCGGTTGACACAGCGACTGCGGACCTAGATGCGGATTGAGGCAGCGCACTGAAAAATACCGCGTTCGGACCGCGACCGCGAGCGACCAGACATGAAAAATTGTCCTTTTTCGCGTAGGAGAAGGTATATTTGTTTGGGTCTGACCCTACTTGGTATATATACATGGAAAAAATGGTATTTTGAGGAGGTTGGACATACTTTTGACACAGATTCGACCTAAGGAGGCAGAGACACAATAGGAGCAAGGCGGGGAATTCTTCTACGAGTTTTTCCTTCCTCTTCCTATTTTTTATTGTTGGTTATGACTTTTAGTATTGTAGTTTTATATACTATTATGAATATTTTATTTGTTATCTAGGGTTTTGATAGAACCTTCTGTAGGATAAATTCTTGTTATATTTTTATATAATTGAGCCGTTAGATTTCTCTACTTGTTCAACTACGTGTTTATTATTGTTGATTGAATGACCATCGATTGACTGTGCCTATTTATTATGTGTTGCTTGATAAAGGATACATATTTATGTGGTTATTGAACAACGTCATTCCTAACGTATGTGAGAAATCAATATAACGGGTTTAATGGCAGGTTTAGAAATAACAAAGCCTTGACGTGGTTAGAGCGAGCAGTTAGATAAAGTTAACTAGCGTAGTTCGAGAGAATATGTCTAGTAAATTATTGTAGTTGCTTGAGAGAGAATTACAACACTTAAAGTGCTCGCGATCAATAGAGAATACATTGGCAAAATTCTAGGGAACATAGCTAGAAGGATTCAGACACTTGGGAAAATCATAACTCTAGACCTTCTTAATTTAGTCTCCAACCCTTTATCTCGTTAGTTGATAATTTTACCGCTTTCTAGTATTTGGTAGTTAATTAGTTAGAAATATAAATCTCAATCTTTATAATTTAGAAAATTGTTCAAACTTGTCTTTTTAGTGATATTAAACAACTATAGCTAAGCCTTAGTTCTCTGTGGAATTCGACTCCGGACTTTTAGACCGGATTATATTTACAGCGACTGCTTATCCTTTTTAAGACTAGAGTTGGGCGTGATTAGTAACAGATCCCTCCAAGAGTCCCGAGTCAAGCAAAAGGTGTAGTTAGCAAATTTACTTTTGTTCACACAAAGGCCGAAGGAAAAAGAGCTCAGTTTACCGTGGTTCCTGGCCTTCCACCCATATTTGGGGGCCATCTCCTTCCACAGATGAGTTTTGGGCGTTGTAATATCAAGAATCTTCTGAATCCATTGGTCCATGCCTTGAACCCTTAGTGGCGTCCACCGAGTAGCTGAAACAACGGAAGAAAAAAAGTCAACAATGACAGGAAGCTGCATTTTTACAAAGGAAAGAGATGAATAAATTACAAACTTACTTGAACAATTCCATGATTGGAGGAAGGATGGAGTTGTGGGCGGGATGATATACCTGGTAGCAATGATGACAAATCGCTTCATCCATCCATGGTCACTGCATCATCCACGCTGGTGAGAAGGGAGTGGTGGTCATGTTTACTGAAATTTGTTACTCCCCCATGAAAGATTTTGGGGAGTAAAGATTCATCATGTGTGTCAGGGTTAGGGTTTCCCCATTCTCTGTGCACAACTGGTGAAGACATCCCACCATTTTCCATATAAAAAGGGCCCACTTGTTCCAAGCAAACCTGGTACTAATAGTAGAACTCCAAGATCACAGGATCTAGCCCCCCGCTCAAAGAAAACGGACTCAAGGTGAAGGGATATGTATAGACATTGTTGATACCCAATTTTTCCCTATGTATTTTTATGCTCAAAATACTTTCAAAATAGCATGTGTATGCATATATAAGCATGCCCAAGAGTTTTGGTATTCTTTTCTAATTTTTAAGGATTTTTAAAATCAATTTATTGCCTATTTTAGCAGTGCAAAATCCAATAATTATCCCCAAAATTATCATCTTAGCGAATAATTTATTTCCATTCTCATATTTACACCAAAATATAATTAAGATTATTTTTGCATATTTTTATAAATTTATTTAGTATTTTTAAAACTAAATTGCATATAATTGCAATTATAGCTTATTTTAAGATTAATAGCATTTCTATAATTGTAAAATTGGTTTCAATATTTTTAAATTAATATTTATGCATTATTAGTTGGGTTAGTACTTTTAATTTGTTTCTAAAGTCTTTTTTACTATTTTATGAAATAAAAAGGGACAAAACTGGATATTTAAAAACTGGCCTCATTTCGTTTCAATTGCAGCCCATTTTGTATTTCGATTATAGCCACATTAACCCCCCCAATTGACCCAATTTGAATCCCAGCCGGGCCAGCCCAATTCCATACCCTTTGACCCATTTAACTACCTGACCCAAGGCTCCTTTAATCCAGACCGTTGATCAATCTGATCAACGGTCACGATCTCCCTTTTCCATTTTTAATTCCCCAAACCTTACCATAGTCCCCATTTCTGTTTAGCCAGCCGCCTTTGAATGCTCTCCACCCTCAAACTCTCTCGAAGGTTCTTCGGAACCCTAGCCGTCTCCGAGCCCTTTTTCACCGTACTTTCACCGGAATCCATGGCTTCTCAGGCCAAGGATGGTCTATACTCACCCCTCTCCACCATTAGACC